TACAAGATTAAAATTGAGAAAAGCTGCTTTCTCAGTAATTGTTATTAGTGATTACTATTTGCTGGATGCTTCACATACATGGTCTCATTTAATCTGCAGTGTTATTATTAGATCTATTTTGCATATAAAAAAAAGGCAAGTCTCTGAAAGGTTGAGCAACTTACCTGAGGTCACAAAGCTATTAAAAGTTAAAGTGGTATTTAAAAGCAGGATTTTAGAATTTTCTCAGAAGCCCAGACTCCTTGCATTGAGCCAGAATGCCATGCCTAGACAATATCAACAACACTTGTAGATGATTTGTACACTGTTCATTTTTTAATGTAAGGCATATTTCAGTTGTGTGAAGAGGAAATGTGTTTATTCTTACTGATAGATAGCAAAATCAAAGGCATATTTGTCCATTCCGTAATACAAGTATATACAATTACATGACAGAGATCCTCAGCCCAGCAAATCACCTACAAACACAGGTACACAGACGATGAACACAAGACACAGAAAGGGTCAGCTCAGGGTACTGCTTGCCTGGCTTGCCATTTTGTCTAAAACTTGTCCTGCCTAGTAGAGAAACTTTGAAGACTCAGAGTCCAATGTTCCAGTCCTGGTGTCCATGCCAATCAGCTGTATTGTGCTTATCACCTAACAAGTAAGCTCACCTTTGTTGGATGCCCTAACGTGTGCTGGGCACATTTTTCTTTTTTTAATTTACTTGTTCTTTTGAATAGTCTATATATGACCAAGGGTTCTGGAAGATTCTGAAGTTAGATTCCCTCTATTCTTGGCCCCTAGCTCTGGAGTTCTCCCTCCCAGAATTAATCGTTGTTACCAGTTTTCTGTAATATTTTAAAGGCACCAGGAATTTTATATTATATCATTTAAGCCTACTGGTTATTGCTCCAATTTAACTTACTTTAACTAATTTTTTTTTGTCTTTCCTTGGGATTTGGGGCAAGAAATGAAGGCCAGTATATGGGCTCAGTCTGTATTTTCTATGCCATTTTTTCCCCTGTTTTACAGATTCCAAAACAACTTCTGTGAATGAAAGTAACTACTTAAATTCTTAGTTGTGGAGCCAAGATTCATTCATTCACTTATTCAATATATATTGAGTGACTATAATGGGCCAGGTACCATGCTAGGTTTAAGGATGTGATGGTAAATCACACAGGCCTTTCTTCTCAGTTTGGTGGAGAAGTTTTAAAAAGTAACCAGATAAGGTACTGTGTGTTGTGGTTGCTTCCTGGAGTAGCATCAGCCAAACTCAGAGGGCAAAGGAAGGCTGCTAGAAAAAATGATTTTCAAGCTGAGACATTAAGGATGAGAAAGAGCCAGATGCAGGGGGAAGACATGGGAGAATAGAGAGAAGAGTAATCCAAGCAAGTGAACTACATGGGTCAAGGCCCAAAGTCTGAGGTGTTGAGATGTTTTCAGGATGACTGGAACTGCTGTGGGGTGTCCAGAGCAGATCCAAGAGGATTAACTGAGGCTTGATCAGCCAGGCATTGTAAAACCTGGTAAGATTTAGTAGGAGAGTGATGTGCTCACATGGGCACTTAGGAAAATTATTCTGGCTATGGAATGGAGAATGGATTGGAAAGTGCAGTGCTGGTTGAGAGAGGGCCACAGGGGAGAAATGATGGTGACCTGAGCCAGGGTTAAAGCTGAGGTATTTGGGAGGTGAAATCAATAAACTTTCAAGTCCTGGTAGTGCAGTAATGGTCATGAGGGAAGACTCTAGAACTATCAGGAATTTTCTCTTTGCTTCTTCTTAACAGCAGAGCTGTTGGATATTGAACTGCTTATGACATTGGGCAGAGCTGCTGGAGAGAACTGCTGGGACACTGTACAAGGCATCTTAATCTTTGTAGGTGTCAGTTTTCTCATTTGTAAAATAGGAGTAAAAACTGGATCTAAATGGAGATAATATAGTACCTACCTCATAAAGTCATCATAAAGATTAAAAGAGAGAATCCTTACAAAGTCTTTAGTGTAATCTCTACACATACTCAGTATTTAGACAATGGCAGGGGAAAGGGAGGAGCCAAGTATGATGTCCAGTTGTAAGCTTGGGCACTTGTGTAGTTGGTGGTGCCTGTCTCTGAGTTGAGAAACACAGGAAGGACAGATTGGGGAAGGTGATAAATCCAGCCTGCATTTGTCTAATTCCACAATCCACATCTCTCTACTACACCAATCTCCTTAAAGACACTACTACTTTCTAGCTTCATGATCTGGGCAAATTATTTGTGCCTCAATTTCCTCCTTTGCCTCAGTTTCCTCACCTGCAAAATGTTTTGATAATAAATAGTACCTTCTTCATAGACTTGTTTTAAGGATTAAATGAGTTAAAATATGAGCCTGGTCCATAGAGTCATAAGTAGCTACTGCAACTGTGTATAAAAGTGTGGAAGACCAAATGGTATAAAAACGTTTTCTTTCCCTTATTTTATTTTTTGCATCACATCGTGGCTTTCATTATATTTTTCTTTTGAGTTGCAGTAGTATCTTCTTTTTTCTTTAATTTTCTAACGCTTTCACTCCACAAAAATTTCAGAAGTCCATGTCTTTAAGGATAAATATTTACTCTATTCATATAAACTTTAATTTTTATTAGCATAGATTTTCTCAAATTATACATTGTATAAAGTTTAATGATTTGGTAGAAAGAATGCTTGAAAGTTTATTATCAAAAAGTTTTACAGTGTTTTTTTTTTTCCCTATGCATCTCTTTCC